AGATGGTTTTTTAAGCGAGTAAGTAATTTTATTTAAGTGTCAGACTAAAATAGCAGTACCAAAGCCACTAAATGGGGACACTAAAACATGCTGACACTATTGTTATAGTGTCTGAATACTGGTGGCAATAACACAATAGACCAATAAAGTTTAAGAAATACAATCAAGGTAACAGTGTTTTCTGCTAGCACGGGGGTTTCATTAAGGGCCAGGCACCGGGCAAACTGACCAGTTGTGAGGTTGAGTTTGCCCGCGTGGTTTGACCATCAAGAGGAAAGTTTTTCTTACCTCAGAAGTTCAGTTCAAATAGTTTTGCCCACCTGCGAAAACAAGATGCCCTTCCGCTGAAAACATTAATGAAATTCCTGCTAGCATATTTGTAAATTGGTTTTGACCTACATTTATTTCACGAATTTTCTTTCCTTTATGTCTTTCTTCATTTACCTTCTCCAAAGAAGATTGGTTTCATAGCATCTACACCAACGTAGTCAAAATACGACGTCCACTTCTTGATCGTCTTCCCAGACTAAAATAAAAGGAATATAAGAAAAAAAATCATTAGATGACTCCATTATGTATGGACCATTATTTTACAATCAAAGCAGAATTAGTTGAAGTCAAAAGTTTCAAAACTATTGAGATGCCCACAAAACAGGTGTTGAATGGGGAGCAGTTTTACACTTGCTAAGAACATAACCATTTTGCTACTGTATAAAGCCAACCAAACACGTTCATGTGACGTACCTCATCTTTTTCATCCAACAAGAACGTCATGATTTTCTGGAAGAAAAGTATGAAAGAATGGTCTGTTTATTTAATCATATGTTGGCAAATTGAAAAGCGAAGAACACTACTGTGAAATAAATACATCCAAGTTACAAACACATTTATGTACTTACGTCTGTGTACGAATAGCCACTGTTTGTAAGTATAAATGTCTTGCGCCCATTTTTCCTCATTCTAGAATTATAACGAATTGAAAAATTACTTTTTTGAAAGGACAAGTTTGTGTACGGTAAAAACAAAACTTCAAATTGATGAAAAAGTAAGTTGACTTGGTAATAAAGTTATTCATTCATTAAATTCTAAAAACGTTAAACATACCTGCTCAATAACTTTGCAAGTTTAGGCTAAAACAAAATCATAATGAAAAAACATTTAACCACCTCTTTGAAATCATATTATTTTATCAGCTCAGTACAGTTTGCCATTACTATTGCAGATACTTCTTGAACTCTAGGACATGTCTCAAAATTCTTTCAATTTTGTTTAAGTTATACCAATGAAAGCATGAGCCTTAATATCTTTCATGATGTACTGATAGCGATTTCATTTTCTATGTTAACTGATACATTTAGTAATTAACACATACACAGCGGTTCAAAGTATTTCCACATAATTATTGTTTTGGCCATTTATCCTAACCTGGACCAAAACTCTAGAATTCCAGTAACGTTTATAAATTTTGTGACTGATATTATGGTGGCTCATTTTATGGACAGCCAAGTAAACTTCAACAATGGCCTCTACACTACTGATGGAATGAACAAACTCAAGTCATTGACATATATGTGAAAAATTGAACTAGTATACAAACTTGTACTGACCTCTTTAATAACATATGTGTCAAGGTTATCAACAGTGTTTTGTTTCAGTGTTCCCTGCAAAGAAGACACAAGTTTGTTTTGTTAAAACACATTTGTGTGCTGTTAGAACATTCATCACAAGGGTAGTTAGGTATAATAGCAACAGGGAGGTTCAAATGAGACCAAATTGTCAAACTCCCAAAAGGTTCTATCATGCAAAGGCCAGACCCACAAAAAATCCGTCATTATAGAATATGACACAAAAAAGTCCTTTTTTGACGGCATAAAAAATAGTGTCAAAAAAAACAAAACATCACGGGAGTTCCAGGCAAGTTTTACATTCACCTTCCTTTATTCATCATAATACATCACAAATCTGTCTCAAACTTTAGGCAGACTGCGCTCTTTGTTTGGAATTTAAGAGCAAAAACCAAAATAATAATAATAATAATAATAATTAATAGTAATAATTAATAATAATTAAAAGTAATAATCATAATCATAATCATAATCAGTATCATAATCATAGTCATGATAATCACAAAAGATACTGTTTGTGACAGAATTTAAGGAAACCCCACAGAAAAGTCCTTACCAAAATCTTTTGCCCCATGGCAAATTTTCTAACCCAAAGTAAGTCCCTAGATGTGCCTGTTGTTCCCACTTAAAATGATACCTTTTGAGTGAGTTGTGACATTGGTGTGAGAGCTGTTTGAGACTTTAAGGCAGGGTCAGGACTGACCAATCTTAGATTTTGAAATTGCATTCAGAATCTATGGCAAATGTTGAATATCAACAGTATTGTCACAGACTTACCTTCAAATGAACCCAGTCTACTGCTGCCCTGACATCTTGATGAATGCTTTTGTAAGTCAAAAGCAACTCATCTGAGCTAATAACACCATTACTTGTTCTGTGGACAAGAATCCAATGGCATCTTGTATTTCAGTGGTATAACAAACTTTCAATCATAATTTCTAAACACAGCCTTATTACCATAAAGTCATTAATTTAGACCTTCAAGGTTTTAAAAGCTCACTAAAGGCAAAAACATATTATTCATCATAAATTTCAGAAAATTAACTATTAGTCAGTAAAAGTATGAATTGTACTCACCGTTTAAAATCTGGACTGTTGTCAAAGTAATTCACTAAACAGGCCAGCAAATGTGTTTCTGTCATAAAAAAGCAAGTCAGCATTGACATTCCTTCAATAAAAATATTTGCAACCCAATATACTGTAAGGCAGTTAACAGAATCTTTCACCCCTCTACTACACAGGCATAAATGAAAATCTCACTATTAACAACAACAACATTATCACACTTTTTAAGAAAAATGTTTACATATTAATGGCAAAGAACAGGAACTGATAAAAGTTACTCAGAGTAACTAAAGAGCTCTTTTAGCTGAGTCACAAAATTGAAAATGACTTAAAGGTTGTTGGCAATGTAGTGTTAAAATTTATAAGAAAGAAAACAAAAAACAAAAGAAAATAGTTCTGTGGTTATAAATAAATACAGTTGAACCTCCGGCTGCGACCACCCCTCCTCAGTGAACAGTTTTCCAAAATACCAAAAGTCACATCACTATATTTGGAACCTCTTGTGAGTGACCACCTCTTGTAAGGGACCATGGCCACTACTAGAGCTAAAAGTTTGAAATTTTCTTTGTTTTTAACCTCCTGTAAGCAACCACTTGACAGATAATAGAGTGGAAATTGGATAAGAAGGTGTTGTAACATTATCGTATTCCTGGGTAGTACAAGAGATGGAAATTTCTCAATGGGAAGTACGAGATTTCTTCTCGAAATTAACTTTTCACAAGTCAGAATAAAACACTTAAAACGTGCATGCGTAGTCAAGATATGCTAATGAGGCAAAATTTTGACCCAATATGGTCTAAGCTCCTGTAAGCGACCACCTCTTGTACGCAACCGCCTAGGCTTGACATTTTGGCTGGTCACTTATGGGAGGTTTGACTGTATAACTAAAAGGTCAGAAAGATAATACATAGGTACCAGTTGAAAGTTATGGATATCAATATTTGATTACGGAATGAAGTACATGTTTTACTTATACATACACCATAGGTCCTTATCAGGTTAAGTTTCAGTATCTGTTTGAACGACTTTAGGAAATGTTGTTTCAAGCTTGTCTAAATCATTCCAAATAGTGGCTACAGCTAAGCAAGTGTTAAACTTGCCATTAACTAGTTCTAACAGTATGACCAAATTAGTTGGATTGACCAGCAAGTCTAGTATTGAAGTAATGCTTTAAAGATATAGTCTGGAAAAGATTACATTGCAAAGTATACCTGGCAAGTTGAATAATGTATTCAGTATGAAATATCTTGAATTGTCTGCCTGTAACGTAAAATTATTTGATATTTAAATTCAATAATTCTACAAAGTTATTTATTAAATCAATATTTCAGAATTCTGCATTCAGGTTTGTCTTAATGGCTGATATATTTGTTATACTAGTTTGGAAAATTTGGCGATCTAGAAAGAATGATGTTCCTTTGACGATCAGTCCGTCAATCCTTATCCATGGTGGGTAATAACATGCATGTAATAATCAATAAAATGTATGGAAAAGCACACATTTGTTGCTCTAGGACTCAGAAATTACTTTTTATTTGCTTCTGGAAAAAAGTTGGCATAAAAAATTTCTTACTTAGATAAACTAAATTTGAATCTTACTTGAACAAACTTGTTGGGGTACAATTTCCTCACTTCATAACTGTAAGAAGAAGGTACATGTATTATTAGAAAAGAGACATTTGCAATATTAATATCATGAAAATCAACCAGAAGTATATTAAGATACTGTAACCAAAAGAACACAAAAGAGTTGCAACACTGTATACATTGCAACACTGTATACGTTTTTGATACTCATTGTTGGACACTGTTCCAAATGGTCACGAAGATTGTTTAAGAAGTGTAACACTCGTGAACTGAGTTCTTTTAATGAAAGTACACACATTTCAGAAATTTGTTATTATACAAACACTTCAACGATGGAAAGAAGCAGTCTTAATTTTGTTAACAACCACGCTGCTAGGCTTCTCACTATCTATAACAGAATCTAGATAGTGAGTAGCACAGTGAATAAGAGAACAGTATTCCTGATAGATAGTCGGTAGATTTGTACCAATAACTTGATAATTTTGTTTCTTGCTTTCCCTAAAATCAACTACCTCAGGTTTTTCACTACAAAAGATACATGTATAAGCAAATGCCCATTACTTTCAGAGAAATTGCACCTACCCGTTCAAGAAATCAAAACCATGAACACAAACAAGAATGTTTCCATAAGTGTCAACCTACAAAACAAGTCATATGTTACTACATGTAGTTACTTTAAATGATGCAAGACTGCAATTACATGGTTAGATCTTATCAACAGTTATCACTGAACAGTACTTGATAAGACCATAACTTGTAATCAAGTGATGCTCACTTGACAGACATCGAAAAATCAACCAAAGAAAATTGCATGCTGACAATGTACGTAGCTCTACTGTGATCAATGCCAGCAGTTTCTCTGATCATGATTGGTTTTTGCTTGGTTTTGAATTTTCACAGGCAAGTAATAATGGTGATCATATTATCTGATGTAATTGTTGGATGAGGTACAGTATTTTGTGACATTCAGAATATTCAAGGGGGAGATAATGCTTACCAAGACCTTCATTATTCTGGATATTATTGAAAATCTCATCCAATAATAATTTTACTATTATTATTATACTGGACAGGTATAATTGCTATCTTGTTATTGATGTCTCAAGTACAAATTATTAATTTATAAAGCACACACCTTCAGCAGATTTCCTAGCTCACAGTCAAAGAAGAGACCCCTACCAAAAAACAAGCAAGCACTTATTAAACTCAAGGAAGCCACACAGTTAATAGTTAATACATGTTGTATTAAATGGTGATGAGCATATCTTGTAGCATTATCAAAACGTACCTGACAGGAAAGTCTTCATTGTATTCAAATTTGAGAATATCCTGCAAAAGAGAGGGGAAAAAAATTAAAAGACAGTAATAAAAATGCTTTTCATCATTATGTAGAATTACGTCTATGAAAATGTACAGGGTTATTTTCCACGAAATATATTTGGAATATTTTAAAGCATAAAAAATCCTTCAAAGTCTTTTGATTCAAAAAATATCTTCACAATTTCCAAAGCATAAGTCCATCAGTTGAATCTTAAATGCCCCATGAGTGGGAAAGGAATCAAGTTTAAGAAGAGAGATGAGAGTTTATTCACACCAGTATATTTGAAGGATTTTTAGTTAAGCTTCATAACAAAATCATATATTAAATATTAACTAAAGTTATTCCTCAAGTCACAAAACCTTTATTTGAAAATAGAATGGCCATGTACATGAAAATCAATTAATTTAAAATAAAAATTAAATTGAGTATTTGGCCCTAATGTTCAGACTCTGTACATGTAAAAGAAAAGTAATTCTGAATCAAAGTTCATCCTTTAATTTAAATTACCTGTGGGTAACCAATAGAGGCTAACCTCTCACAGATTAAGTCAAAGGCTTTCTTTTCATAGACTGGGGATTTATAAACTAAAACAGAAACAAAGAGCATTATCTATTAATATATGTATTGTTTCAGAAAATATCCAAACAGCTTTACACATTGTGCCAGAGGTTCACTGGAAATACACGAGTGTACATCAGGCAGGTACAAAAGTCGGATCAACTCGGACTGCCAGTCCGGGTCGGATCAACTTGGATCAACTCAGATCAACTTGGATCGTCTCGGATCATGAAAAAAACATAAAATTAAATGAAATTGAAACTTTTACCCATTTGAAGGTTAAAATTCCAGTCAAAAATGGGCCAAATTAAGAAAGACTCGTGACGTTTCTCCATGTTGTGCTGTGTAGTCAAACCTCCATTTTGTATTCTAAGTGCCAGTTCCTCTCGGACTCGTCTCGTGTTCCTCC